CTCAGAGATGGCCAGAGACTCAGTGGAGTCCCAGGGAGGGTGGCGGAGGGAGGACGGCCTGGGATGGCAGCAGTGCCAACCTGGAGGGAGGGAGGGCCTCAAGAGCCCCCACAGGTCAGGGTCAGATCTCTGGGATCTATGAGGAGGGGTGCACGACGTGCCTTTCCTCTGTCAACCCCTCGCATGCTCACGCTATGTGCCAACAGGTTCTTCCTTTATCTGCACAGCACTGCTCTTTCTCAGGTGTTTTCCTTGTCTGTGGATTCATGCGTTTATTGCCTGTCCCCATGCACGTGGCAGACACGTTTGCTGCTGGACACATCACAAGGCTGCGCCACATTTTCCAGCGCTCTTGCACCCGGATCATGTGAGGGGCTCTGGCCCACGGATCGTGGGGTGCGGTGATCTGTGGTGTGATCTTCTCAATCTCCCTCGACTTCGGGGTGGACCCCACACCCTGCACGGAGATGGGGCCTCTGTTAGCGGTGGGACTCTGCTCCCCCGAGGCAATCCTCGGGGGAGCAGAGCCCCACCGGCGCCCGATCAGCCATAAGCTCCTCAAAAGCACAGACCTTACCGTTTCTTCCAGCACCCAGAATAAATATTTGTTGAAGATGAACTCTTCCTTTCTGTTTTTTTTTAAAGATTTTATTTACTTATTCATGAGAGACACAGAGAGAGGCAGAGACACAAGCAAAGGGAGAAGCTCCAGGATCACACCCTGAGCCAAAGGGAGATGCTCAACCGCTGAGCCACCCAGGTGTCTCTTCCGTTCTGTTTTATAACAAAAGTTTGTAATTTGGAAGAAGCTATGACTACCACAAATTGTGTTTTGTTTTGTTTGTTTGTTTAATCTGCTAATCTATAAACACTAGAGGCCACCAAATGATGGAAGCGAAGGGTGATTTGCTCATGTGGCTACTGTGTTGTGAACCGGAAGGTGACAGATGTCCTCTGTGCACTCTGTCCAGCGTGGTGTGGATTGCAACGAGCAACCGGGAAATGTCACCTGCTTTTGCCAGGTAACACATGAGTTGTGACGATTCTTGGCCGTTTATGTTCAGGACAATGGCAATTGTTTGGAAAGGTTGAATCATAACTGTGCAAATATTGTTTTTTGGCCCATTTCTTCATCCAAGGAAAACAGTAGAAAGAAAAACAGTAGATTGAATCATGGTGTTGGGACAAGATCAAGTTGTTTCCTCCTTACCCCCCCCCAATTGTTTTCTTTTGAGTGCAAATGTAGTTTGGAAATAGGGTTAGACCAGAACAGGTAAGGTTGGAAGACATTTGGCCTAAAACAGGTTACATTGCAAGGTGTATATTTGATAATAGTAAGGAGGGGGCGCCTGGGTGGCTCAGTGGTTGAGCATCTTCCTTCGGCTCAGGTCATGATCCGGGGGCCCTGGGATCGAGTCCTGAATCGGGCTCCCTGCAGGAAGTCTGCTTCTCCTTCTGCCTGTGTCTCTGCCTCTCTGTGTGTCTCTCATGAATAAATAAACAAAATCTTCAAAAAAATAAAAAGGAAAGAGGAAGGGGAGAAGGAGGGCAGGGAAGAAAGGAAGAGGAAGGACAAAGAGAATCAGGTCTGCTCTATATTTTCCCTCTGGAATAACACAGGTCAAGTCTCTGGAAACCCTGGGCCATCCCTTCTCTGAGCTGGGTACTTCAGCTCTCTCAACAGCTCCTTGTTGCAAAGGTTTCAAAAGCCACTCAAAACATCACTGCGGGTGACATCTCTGTGCTATCAGAAAGAGCAGATGCTCCAGGGACATAGTACTGTGATTGAGTGACCTGAGACCAAGTGACAGTACTTCTCCAACCTCAGTTTCCTAATCTGCGAATGGGTGGTGGTGAAGGTGTGTGGTGGTGAAGGTGGGTAGTGGTGAAGGTGGGTAGTGGTGAAGGAGGGTAGGAGGTGGGGACCAGCTCAGGCTCTCTCCTTCCTCCCACCTCTGGCCTGGGTAGGGGGCTCCACTCTCTCACTTTAGCAGAGCGATGCCTGTGAGGCCTCAGCTCCGGGAAGACAAGGGGCAGGAAGTCTTTGATCAGGATGTCATCTTTAGGGATGCCTGGGAGGCTCAGCTGTTGAGCGTCTGCTTTTGGCTCAGGTAGTGATCCTGGAGTCTGGGGATTGAGTCCAGCATTGGGCTCCCTGTGGGGAGCCTGCTTTTCCCTCTGCCTGTGTCTCTGCCTCTCTCTCTCTTGCATCTCTCATGAATAAATAAGTAAAACAATTTTTAAAAAGGATGTCATCTTTATAGTTCATACAGTTTCAACTTGTGGGCTGTCTCACCCAACAATTGGCGCCCATGAGCCTGTAGTCATCTAAAGTAAGGTAATTTCAGGTGAGAAGATGGCAGGAAGATGACAACATGTGCTTTGGAGACTTAAAGCAGGGTGAGTGAAAAAGAATGAGGAAGGTGAGGTTTGGGCAGAGACAGGTGTGCTGAGAAGTGCCCACTATGAAGCTTTGGGCAATGTATGTGCTGGGTGGGGGGAGTTTGAGGTACCAGCGAGAGTCAGAGAGTAAGGCGGGGCCCAGATCATACAGCCCCTTGCAGGGCAATTGATGGACCTGAAGACTTTCTCTAAGTGCAGCAGGGAAGCCACAGGAAGACTTGAAACAGAGGGTGGTATAGTGGCAATAAAATGAAAACCCGAATCCTACAACCCAGGAAATCTCACCACAAAGGTAGTGGAGAAAGGAAACAGTCTTATGATCGAGGAAGCATTAAAGCGGAATGGGGTGCACACCCCCAGGCAATCACTGGGAGATGGCAAAGGCAGAAGGAATCCCACCCCCTTTCCCAGCCAGGCTGAGCATTCGGTCACACACACATTCTCGGGTGGAGCACAACCAGTCCCCAATAATGGGACCCGGCGGCACCGTTGGTCACACAGAGTTCATCCTAACTTCACCTGGCATTTGGGGACAGTGTCTGTGTTAACTAATTGGCTTCCTCCAGGGGACAGACGTCTATCTGTGCCACAGGAGGTAGGTCGTGTGGCAACTCCGAGCCAAGTGCTGGGAAAATGTGGGTCCCACCTTAGGCGACAGGGGGCGCTCCTTCCACGGATGTTCTTTCCAAAAGATCCTCTGTTTTCCCAGGTCCTTGAGAAAGAGCCCCCTGGCTTATTCAGCTGGCTAGAGCCTATTCTAGTTTTTAAAAAGATTCACACAGGTTTCAAAGAGACAGGGAAAGAACATACGATGACAAATTTTCAGAAGTAAGTCTCCACTACGGAGAGAAAAACCTGATCTTTTATTTTTCACGGGGGCTGGGGGATTAGGCCTCTTTTAAAAATTATTTTCTCCTCCGGTGGCCTGATCTGAGTTTTGTTCTAGGAATCTCATCTGGGTGCTCAGGGAAGAATGAAGACCACTCAGGAAGCTTTCTGTGGTTCTGAGCCTGCGGGCGTGATGGTGAAAATACAGAGCTGGGCTCCTCTGGGTGCCAGCTGGAGGCACCCCCTTGGGGGGGCATGCTGAGATCTTGGTTCTAAATGAAAGCAGGGAGTCAACCATGCCTCCGAGGTTTGGGCTTGAGCACTCCTCTGGGGGATGATGCCCTGTTGGCTTAGAGGAAAAACAAGAACTCTGTCCTGGGCGTGCTGGCACTACATTCCTAGTAGGAATCCGAGTTCATGTGTCAGGTAGGCAGTTAGGTTTATGAGTCAAGAGCTCAGGGCCCGAATCAGAGACTTTAATTTGGAAAGAGGGTAGGAGAAGAACAGAAGTGTGGAGTCTCAGGACCCCTGAGGGTGAGGGAGTGTTGGGAGGAAGGGTGTCCAGGCAGTGGGGCTGGGGAGGCTCATGGGGTGATGGGCTGGGGAGTCTGCCCCTTGGCGGTGCCCGGGCAGGAACAGTGTCTGCAGAGTGGAGGTGATAGAGGCTCACCTGGCAGGGTCAGGGTGTATGGGAGCAAAGTGCTGTCCAAGAGCAGATAGTCCACCGTCCAGAGGAGTCTCTTGCTCATCTAGGGACGGTGGGCTTTGAGAGGGTTTTGGTTTTGTTGTTACTCAATTATTTGGATATTTGCAAAATAAGTAAATGGGGTAAACACCCAGCCAATACAAAACTGTGCCACTCTCCACCTGGTCCCACCCCCTTCCCCTCACTAGAGGGAACTAAGCACAAGGAACAGCTTAAGGGCTTTTATTTGGGGTTGTATTTAGGGTTTGGGGGAGGAGCATAAATAAGATGTGAGATACTACAGACTAGGAATAGATTCAGGATGGAGGAGAAGGCGGGTAATGACATGAGTCAAGGTCAGAAGAAGGCCAGGTTGAGAGAGGCAGGGGTCCCGGGCCCAGCGGGGGCCTGGCCTTTGTTGGAAGCAGGGACACCTGAGAACATCCTCCCCAGACACTGTCCTAGCGCCTCAGGTCTCTAAGTCCAGACTCCTGGGCCTGGATGCCACCTGACCCAGAGTGATCAGGCACTGTGGGTCCGAGGGGGCTGACCTGGCTTCCTGGCCTTCTGCCCAGGGGCTGCCCTTGGAAGTCACCAGGGGGGTTCGCATTGACGACTGCACTGTCTCACCACGGGATCCCTGACCTAGGTGTCAAACCTAATTTGCAAGGAGCACACTGAGCCGTTTGCTATCGAGATGGCCTCCCGATGGTCACCCCTTTCCTGGGTACACTCCACAGACGGAGCTGACTCCCACAGTCTAGATGCAAGATAAGTGTCTCCTACTCACCAGTGCCCCAGGGGCCAATGGGGAACTTTGGGGAGACCTTCACTGTGAATCAGGATAAGAACTGGCTGGGGTGGGGGTGTGGATGGGACTGGAGAGGATGGGGGGGTTCTGCAAAGGAAGCATGCACACGCACACATCTGTCCGGCTGATGAACTTTTATTGGTCTCTTCTATGTCCAGCAAAGGGGCGGGGACTTGGGGAAGTGAAGCCCAGGGCCCAGATGGGAGTGGGGGCATGCGCTGATCCACAGAGGAGCAAAGGGGGGGCCCAGGAACAATCCTCCTAGGGCCGGACAGAGGCAGGGGTGTAGCGCGGAGAGGCCAGGTGCATCTCAGTGACGGGTCATCTGTGAAGAGGACACAAGGGGGAGGAAGGCCCTGGTCCTGCGTGGCCCAGGGGCTCCCAGCAGCCTAGCCTCCCGGACAGCCTCCACCCCGCCTCTCACCTTGGCCAGGCTCGGGGGGTATCTGGCTTTGAGAGACTCGTCATTCAGCAGAGGCCTCACCAGGCAGGAGCGGCGGTGGGAGAAGGTCTCAAAGCTTTTCTTGCCGTGGTAGGATCCCATGCCGCTGTTGCCTGCAGGGAGGAGCCAGCTCAGCCCCGGGTGCCCGGAGACCCCCCAGCCCCTGCCTCAGCTCCCCAGGGGTGGCCAGTCCCTGGAGCATCCCCCAGGGAGTCCACCCTGGGGACATAGAGAGTGCTCAGGAGAGTTCAGTGTCAGCTATGCCACCCGATGGCCATGCGACCTCTGGCCTGTGTCCCCTCTCTCGGGGCCTCTGAGAAGCAGGCCTGGTGCACCAGGGGACCTTTCATGGCCGCTGAGGTCTTGAGGTCAAACACAGCTCCTGAATATGCTGACAGGAGCCAGACGCCCACACAGGAGAGGTTAGTGGGGGTCTGAGGCCCAGGGCTGCTCCAGCCGCTCCTGAACTCCCAAAGTAGGGGTGGGGAGGGGGGACATTTCTAGGGAGGCCGGCGGGCAGTGAGCTCAGCCCCAGACTCACCCACACCCCCGTAAGGCAGGGAGTGCACAGAAATGTGGACGATGACGTCATTGGCTGTCACCCCACCGCTGGATGTCTCTGCAATCATCTTCTTAATCATCTGCAATGGCACCCAGCCTCTGCCTCAGTCTCCTTCCCAGGACACCTCAGGCCCCTTCGCACCCTGTCTGGGTGCATCCCAGAGCCTCAAGGGCCAAGCTGGTAGAGGCAGAGCTGCACCACAGTCTGAACCCCAGTCAGGGTCTCCCATTCTCCCCACAAGTCAAGTACTTTGTGGGAAACAACTGGTTTTGGAGCTCAGGAGAAAGGGGCCAGAAAGGTTAAGTTACTTGCCCAAGATCACACAGCAGTGAGCACTGAAGCCTATGGCCCCCTGGATCTTGTTCACATAATGCTGTGTCAGGGACCCCAAGACCTGGGGAGAGCGGATCCTGGGCCCACCTTGTCGTTTAGAGAGAACACGTAGAGAGCCAGGGGCTTCTCGCGTTGGTTGATGAACTGGATGGCCTCCTCCAGGCTGCGCACGCACACGATGGGCATCACGGGCCCGAAGATCTCCTCCTGCATCACCTGGGACTGGGTATCCACGTCTATGAGGATGGTGGGGGCTGAGGCAGGAAACAGGCCAGAGTCAGCAGATGTCAAGGGCCCCGCCTGCCCGGCCAGTGCAGGCATCTAACTTTGTCCTTCAATCCCCGTACAGGTGAGGCCGTGGAGGCTCAGGTGGGGCTTGGATGAGCCCTCCACCTGCTGGGCTCCATCCTGCAGACTGTGGGGAGAACTATGTATAACCTATATGGGGCTGGGGGACACAGGGTCCACATCACAAGGGGGCAGGCACTGTGCCCTGCCTGCCACCTGAGCCCCTGCCAGAGCTCTTCACTCCCCGCCTAACTGGGGGCAAGGTGGGGATGCATCTGGTGACCTTCAAGCCTAGGCACTGGGGCCCCTCCAGCCGGCCACTTGCCGTTCTTGTGGTCTTGCTCCTCATACCCCTTGCTGATGCCGCAGGAATGGGGAGGAGATGAAGTTGTCCCCCCGGCCTTGTGGGCAGAAGGCTTCTAGGCCGGGGATGGGCTTTGCAGGAGTCACTCCCAGCCCCTGCCTGCCTGCAGCCCCAGAGCCCACCCCAGGCCCACTCTCCAAGGATCAGTGCCCACCTGCCACCAGTTTGCAGGGACCTCTGGCCACCCCCAGGGATGGGGTGGGGTGGGCAGTGCTCTTACCAAGGGTGAGCACACATACCTATGTATCGGGTGGCCGCGTCCCCAGTGCCTCCATAGGCGACCTTCTGGCCCTCCATCAGACCCATCACCCTCTGGAAGTGCCGGGAATTGATGATCCTTCCGTAGTCACGGGACTTCTTGGCATCCTCCCCATAGAACTCCTGTAGGGAAGAGGCAGGCTTCAGGTGAGGATGCGGACCCTCATCAGGGCCAGCAGCTGAGGGGTGTCCTTGGCCTGGGGGCACAGGGGCACCACCCAGCTGATGCACAGCGACACTGGGGGCTGCCGAGGTGCTGTGACATCTGGGCCACTCCAAACTTTCGTGGTAGATGGAGAGCTGTGAGACAGCAGTATTTGAAAGGAATATATCCACCGTTGTGTGGACATCGGGATAGGATCAAATATGTGTCATCACAGAGAGGACGGGGAGGGATCATACCAACAAGGTAGCAGTCATTGTCTTGAGGTGGTGGGTTTCTGGGTAGAGCTTTTGTTTTTCTTTTTTAAAGATTATTTATTTATTTATTCATGAAAGAGGCAGAGAACAGCAGAGGGAGAAGCAGGCTCCCTGTGGGGAGCCTGATGTGGGACTCCATCTAGGACCCTGGGATCATGACTTGAGCCAAAGGCAGATGCTCAACCACTGAACCACTCAGGCATGCCCCCCCCCTTTTTTTGCTTTATGCTTTATTGTTTTATAATCTTTTCCAAATTATCTACAGAGAGTACAGATTGTTTTTAGGATCAGGAAAAAAAAATCCAGTGTTCTCTAAAGACAAGGCCCACCTCACTGCCTCGCAGCCTCCCACTCAGCTCCAGGGGCCCACACTCACTTTCAGCGCCTTTTTGAGCTTCTCCACAATTTGGTTCTGGATGGAGGGGTCACAGAGGATGTAGTCAGGGGCCACACAGGTTTGGCCGCTGTTCATGAATTTCCCCCAGGCAATGCGTCTGTGAAAAGTTGCAGATTAGATTGCATTCTGCAAGGCACAGGAGGCTCCTGGAGACAAGCATCTTACTCTGCTAGCTCTGGATCAAGGCACCAGGAGCTGAGCTCTGGGGGGGGGGGAGCTCTGGGGGGAGCTCTCGGGTGGCAGAAGCCAAAGGCTGTGAGCTTCCCACCAGCGGAAGCATCCCACAGGCTTCTAGGCATGGCCAGGTGTCATTTCTGCTTGGGGTCCCCGCCGCCTGGAAGGCTGCACACATGGGATATGAAAGAATTCTGGCCAGACTAGAATTCTGGAAGAATCTTCCCCTGTGGGAGCCTTCCCAGCCTGCCCGGACCCAGAGCTGAAAGGCAGCAGGACGGCCGCTTCGGTGCAGACAGGTGCCGCACCCCTCACCTGCAGGCAATGTCCAGATCACAGTCTTTGTCCACGTAGCAGGGGTTCTTTCCCCCCAGCTCCAGCGTGACGGGTGTCAGGTGCTTGGCTGCAGCCATCATGATGACCTTCCCCACGGCGGTGTTCCCCGTGTACAGGATGTGGTCAAACCTCTCCTTGAGCAGCTCTGTGGTCTCAGGGATGCCCCCACTGATCACCGGGTACAGGTCCTTTCATGCAAGGAGGAGCCATGGCTCAGGAAAGACCACAAGCCCTCCTCACCCTGCCCAGCCAGCCACCATCAAAGAGACCCCTTCTCCTGACCCCGGGACTCATTCACCCCTATGGGAGAGGCTGGCTGCCCTCGCCCCACCCCAAGGTTTAGCCACTTGCTGCACAGATTCACTATTTCTCAACCCCCCAAAGACTTGGAGAGCACCTCACCCTGTCCAGGTACTGAGGGATGATGGTGGCCAGCAGGTTTGCCATGTTCTCACTCAGCTCCGAGGGCTTGATGACCACTGCATTCCCTGTGGGGCGCACAGAGTCAGGGCCCTGCCCTGTCAGTGACCAAGCCTGGAGCCCCATCCATTCTCTGTGTCCTTGAAGGAGTGGACAGAGGAGCCAAGGGCACATACCCACCCGCAGGAGCTGCCCCCCACCTCCCTGCAGCTGCCTCCAAGTGGGAGAAGAGGGACGAGAAGTCTCTGCCGTGGATTGGCGAGACCGGTGAGCTCAGATGTCTCTAAGCCGAGAGCAGCCCGGCCCGGCACACACTGCAAGTGGGGAGGCGCAGGCTGCAGGGGCATCTGAGCCCAACTGGCCCTTGGGCACCAGGGGGTCTGGCTACATAGTTTGGTCCCTACAGCCTCTGGTGGAAGAAAGATCCATCAGACCACGATCTGACTCCAGGCCCCATCTTCTCCCCATCTTCGCTGAGCTCTGCCCCGCCCCCCATATCTGGCCACACTCAGCAGGGCTGGGACCTTGATCCTCGGTGACTCCCTCCTGAAACGGAGCTCACATACCTGCAGCAATGGCACCCACCATGGGCTGGATGGTGACAGTGAAGGGGTAGTTCCAGGTGCCGATGATGAGGACCACACCCAGGGGCTCCGAGTGGATGTAACACTCGTCCTGCTGGGTCTGGGGAGTCTTCTCCACGGGCTCATCTGCAGCCCACTCAGGGAGTTTCTTGATCATGTACTCGATCTCCTCCAGGACATACACCACCTCCTCGTAGTAGGCGTTCCACTCATTCTGTGGTGGCAACAAGGCTCCGTGTGAGCTCGCTGCTGGGAGATCCAGGGCCAGCCGTGCAGCTGGAGCTCTGATCAGGGAGTCACCAGGGCCGGCTGTCCTGGCTCACTGTTCCCAAATTTGTGACCTTGAATGAGCTGCCTACCCTCTCCTAACCTCAGCTTCCCTTCCTGATCTAAATAATCGGGGCATGATCTGGACCTTGCAGGACTGCCGGGTGGGCATGTTGGCCACAGCCCAGCATGTTCAGCTGCCAGGATGATGGGAGAGTGTTCAATGGGGGCTCCCCGGGGCCTGAGTTAGAGAAGTCACGTGGTGGGGGTGCTGGCGGAGCTGAGGCTTTGCCGCTGGGGTGGTAGGTCTGTGAGGGTCCCTCTCTGACAGTGTTGGAGGACCAGGGAGGTTTGGAAAGGTCAAGTTCATGCTGCCTGAGGAGACCTCAGACCTGGGCAGTGATCTGTAGGTCATTCAAGGGGAGAACAGAGCAGAGGTGTGTCCAGGAATGCATACAGATTAAAATAAGATTTGAACCCAGGATGGAGCCCTAAGAAGGCCCCTTTGAGGAGGTACAGGAAAATGACTGCCAAAGAGAAGACAAAATCCAGGAGAACCTCAGCTGGAGAGGGAGGGCGTGGGCAGAGGGCTCAAGGGATCCTCCTGGAGTGGGTGGGGAGGAAGCCATTGTGCAGGGGTGAGGAGAAAGGAGGAGCAGGCCGTGGAATACACCACTCTTCCAGGAACTCTGGCTGTGAAGAGCACAACAGAACTTGTGAAGTTGTTGTTTGGATTTAGCCTGGAAACAGGAGGAGGATGAGCTCCAAAGCCCCTCTGCTCTTCTCCAGGGCAAAACCCAACAGGGGAAGCAAGGCTGGGGGATTTGAGGGCAGCAAAGTGAAGGATTTGAGAATTGGGAGGGGTCTGATTTTGCTCAGGGTAAAGGATGGATGGGGAGGGAGGGAGGATACCATGCAGAGCGGGGACCCCTTTGGGATGCCAAGCTGTGATGTTCTCTGGTGGGGCCAGAGGAGGGGGGGCGGGAATCAGGTGGCCTGCATGGGGCTGAGGCCTGGGGGAACGAGCAGATCAGAAGTCCAGGGTGTTGGGTCCGCGGCACATGGCTAAAACGGGTGGCCTTTTAGCCACCTGCATGGAGAAGGAAGTGAAGCCAGGAGGGCATGGCAGGCACATGGGGGAAAGGAGCTGCCGGGCCCTGCGCTGGGCTGCGGGGGAACGTGGGGCTCGGAATGGGTTGGGAGGAGTGGCCTGAGCGCCGCATCGCAGCGTCTGATGGCTTGAGCTCCACTTTTCCTCCTCTAGAAAGGGTCCTGCCACTGGCACAGTGCTTCGAGGACTAGCTGCGCTTCCATGCAAAGAGCCGGGCACTGAGCGCAGGCGCGCAGCGGATGTCCCACAGGCGAGCAGCGACCCTTCCTGTTGCCCCTCGCCTCCGGGGGGGGGAGCGGGGGGATGGGGACTGTGGGGGGCGCACCTTGTGTAGGTCCGCGGTCAGCGCGCCCGCCAGGTCCTTCTCGTGCTCCTTGATCATGCGCCGCAGCGCCTCCAGCTGCTGGATCCGGAACTGCAGCGGGCGAGTCTTGCCCGAGTTGAAGGCGGCCCTGGCCCGCTGCACGACCTCGCTGATTTTGCTCATGGTGCCTGGGGGGAGACAGCACCTTGGAGCAGGGGAGGACGACCTGGGCGCTGCAGGGGCAGCACCCTCACTGCTCCTCCACCGCGTTAATTTTATAGGAAGAGGAAGATGTCTCCAGGAGCACAGGGAAATAGCATTCTTTTGCCTTCTCGGTTCCCTAACCCAGATGCCTGGACCCTCAGACCCTCTGAATACCCCCTGAGCTGATGATAAACTCAACCTTCAGGAGCATAGAGAAATTACAGTGTTCCTAAACATTCGTAGCTAAGAAAGTTTATTGAGGTTGTATATAACACAGAAATACTGGAAACATCCTAAATGTCCTATCAGCAATCAAAATGAAGAATATAGCACTTATGCAGTGAATGATTGTGCAGGATTTAGGAGGGAGGTAGAGCTCCCTTGCTTTCTGTGCCAGATGTGTCCCAGGCACAAGGCATAAGCATGACACATAAGAAAGAAAAGAGGTTACAGAACAGCAGGAACACTAGGCATGCACCTGGAGGTGTGTGCATGTGCGTGTGTGTGTGCTCTCTTACACACTGCCAGAAAAGACCAGAAGGATAACCCCCAACATGGTGACAACGGGCAGGGGTGGAATTAGTAGTGATCTTTGCTTTCGTCTTCTGTGATGTTTGACTTCTTTTGCAACAGAGCTTGCATTTTTAAAAAATGTTTTGTAACTTTTTGAATAGGTAACACACGCTCATGATAGAAGTAAAAGAGACAAAAGGGGCACAGGGAAAAGTCTCCCTTCTCCCTTTTCCCTCAGGAATTCCTTACTGTCCCTCCCAGAGATATCCTACCACTTTCAGACACTGCAGAACTTCTAATATCAGAAAAAAAAACCAATAAGGCTATTTCTACCTTGCAAAAAATTGTATATACTGTATATACTATATGTATAGACATATATATACATAAATTTATGTATATATGATGTGTGTGTATATATATATATATATTTTTTTTGCAAAATGGAAATAGGTCTGTGCGCGCGCGTGTGTGTGTAATCCTTTTCAAATTCCAGCGAGTGGTTTCTGAGACCTTCCATTGCCTACCCTGTCCTCGGTGCTGACCCCCATCTCAGGCCTTCTGCACAGACAGGAGAGGCGCTACGCTGCTGGCATCCAGGGCACCCCAGCTGGCCACAACCCCAGCCATACAGCTCTACTGGAAGGTTCTGCTTCCCTCCCCAGATCTGGGTGGTCAACCCAGGGCCGCAGCCTCTGGCCAGTGGCCACCAAGGCTGGGCAGCTCAGGGTGGAAGAGTCTGGTGTGACCCCAGGTCCAGCACTCAGAACCATGTGGTATCTGGGAAGGAGCCCCGTCTATGGACGGCATTAATAATGGCATCGCCTCTCAGTTATCACAGACATTAATGGAGCTGGAAAGCATCTAACATTGCACCTGGCACCCCAAGGGGAGCGAGCCGATGAAATTCCTTTCCCGGGACTGGTCCGCCTTTCCACACCTCTGCATCCCACCCGCTTCACCTGTGCCGACTTTGCCCCCAGGTGTCCCCGTGGACAACTCCCCCTCCATCATTCCCTTGGATCCTCACAAAAACTCCATGGCAGTGCCCACGAAGAAGGAACTGTTAGGAGTCCATTTTACAGATGAGCAAGGTGAGGCCAAAAGATGCTCGATATTCCCACCTAGGAAAAAAAAAAAAAGAATGGGGTCGGGGGTATATGGAGGGATGGGGGGAGAGGATTACCTTTGACACAGTCTTTCTCAGCAGCTTGAACTTCTGGAATGAGCAGCCTAGAGGGGATACATTTAAGGACCCTTCTTCCCGCCCACTTGGCCTGGGAGTCCCTGCCCAGGAAGTTCGTGTAACAAGAACAAAACAGTGTTCAAATATGGGTTCTAGCTAACGGACCTCTACTTCCTCTGAGCCCCAGCTTTGGGGATTAGGCCTTGGGTTGTTTATTTTTTTTCTTATTCTGAAATGCAAGAATGCGTCTGTGAAGGCTTGGGTGGGGCTCCCAGCCAATCTTCAAAAGGAGCCTCTGTGTTTGGGCTGGGCAAGGGGGCCCTGATTGATTCAGCCTGGCGTGTAACTCTTCCAGATTTCCGAAGTTCAATCACCCGAGGCTGTTCTCCCAATTTCCCTGTTATGTAAGGTCAGCAGAGGGTGAGGTACGAGTCATGATGAGTGTGCACACAGGTCCCCAAAGTGCAGGACGGGTGCGGGCACACTCTCCGCCAGGCGCACAGGTGTCAGGGGCTCACCAAGGTGGACATGTCCAACCCGGGGAACTAGAGGCTGGGGGCTTTCTGTGTGTGGCTTTGCCCTCCTGTTGAATGGCAGAGACAGGCCAAGGACCAGCGATGACTGCCTGGAATCTTCCTCCATGTGGTCACCCAGGAAGCCAGAGATGCTTGGGAAGGAAGGAATCTGGAAGCCCCTCCTCTGCTCCTTACCAGATGTTTGCTGGACACCCCCTCTGTGCCACCCCATGGGGAAGGCAGCAGATGTCACTTCTCATATTTGTCCTGGGGCCGCAGACTCCTGGCCTCCTCCTACCCTACTGCTACCACTTTTCTCCACCTGCAGGCTCTTCTCCAGAGCATTCATTGCCCCAGACATGCTATTTGTCTCCTAATTTTGTTTGCAACCTGCTGCCCTCCAGCTAGAATTGGGTTTGCTCGCTGTCGTAATCCTCACACCTAGAACAGTGTCTGGCATGCAGTAGCTGCTCAATAAATATCTCCTGAATGATGGCATAAACAGAAAATTTCAAAACAATATGAAAACTGTGGCAGCTGGAACGTGCACAGGATGGCACAGGGATTCGGATGGGGTTGGGGGCACGGGAGAGAGACAGCGCCTGTGCCTAGTGAGGGGTATCCAAGCAAGGAGGGCTTAGAACAGCAAAAGCAAAGGCACAAAGGCAGTGAACAAGGTCATGCATCCGCTGCAGTTAATCAGCAGCTGTGGTGTGTACCCTGTTGCCAGCAGGAGGTGAGGGGATGGATGAGGCTCCAGGGGCCACGGGCTCATGGCGGCCCGGGGGCTCCGCAGGCTGTGGGTTTGGGTGGGCACGAGGGAGCTTATCATAGCTCATCCAAATCAGACCTTGTTTTTTTCCAGAATGCCTCTGGATAGGGCACAGTCCTGATGAGGTCCAGTTTGGAAGCTGCAGCTTGCAGGAATGCAGGCCAGGAATTACAAGACCTCCAAGCCAGACTGACCTTCCAGAATAGCAGGAAGATCTGGTGCCCAGGGTGCCTGCACAGAGTGGTGGGTAGAAGGTGAGGGGAGGGGGCTCTGAGATGGGAAGTGACCAGGTGGGAGCACCAGGCCTCTTGTGCCCGACCTGGAACCCTCCCCCTTGCTTCTCTGGTGCTGGCACCTAATTATCTTTGCAGATGACCCCTTGCCCTCTGCTCATAGACTCGGTGCAATCGCCAGCTGCAGCCTAACCAGGGGGATCGTGGGCCCCCACGCTTTCCCGGGAACTGGACATTGAGTGAAGGGCAGGCTGCAAGGCCTCTGATGCTGACTCATCATGACCACAGCTCCCTGGAGCCAGTTGCCCGACCCACCTGCCGAGGTCTGATCGTCAGCTCCACTGTTTAATGAGTTCAGTGGAAATGTTCACGGACTGCTGAACACTGCCTGCTGCTGTCCTTAGACAAACTATTTAGTCTTTCTGGGCCTCAGTTTCCCTATCTGAAAAACGAGGTGGAAAGAAATGGAGAGATGAGCCCCCTGGGTCCACCCGCCTTCCGTGAGACTCCTCTGCGGCTTTCATGGCTCTAAGCTGCCTTCATCCATCTCATTTCCTCTCTCATCTCTTAGCATGAAGTTGACCTCCCTGAGGAGAACCATGGAAGCAACTGGAAAAAGCAAGCACAGGCAACAATGACAAACAGTGCCCGGCACACAGAAAGTTTGGAGCAAATGCTGGGTGCTGTTGCTCTTGTTAGAAGTAGCAGCCTTCATCTGGTAACGGAGCAAGGAGCCTTGAAACTTGTTTAAATGATGGAAAAATCTTTAGAGTTTTGTTGGTAAAGAGATGCAGTTCTGGCATAAGCTTGAGTTATCACAGAGTTGCAGATGCATGGGTTTGATTTTAATCTTTTCCCTGCTACTCCATTCCAATGCCCAGATTGTCACATTCTCTCTCTGGATCCCCTGCCACCTGCCTGCTCTCCCGAGTCCCTGCCACGTCTCTGTGGTACCTTTAAGACCTGCATGGTCTGATTCCTGGCTGCTTTGTCAGCCTCATTTTGTACCACTTTCCAACATTTTCACTGGATTCCAGTCCACCGGCAGTCCTAAATGTGCCAGGCGATTTCCCACCTCAGGGCCTTTGCACATGCTAAGTCTTATTCCCTGGAACACTTCCTCTTCCTCTGTGCACCAGGGTAACTCTCACTCCTGTTTTGATTTCAGCTTCTCTGACCCACCCTCACCCCTAAATAACACCTTCCCTACTCCCAGGAACCTGCTACAACTTGCAATAATATACTTGTTTGTGTGATTCTTTGTGGATTATTTTTCTTTGCTCCTTATCCACCTTCCCCCAGTCGCTCTGCACCTAGACTCACATTTCCATAAAAGTAGTGAACTCAGCTTTTGTTCAACACCACATCCCTAGCGTGTGGCATATAAGAAGACCTCCGAGAATAATGGAGAGGCCAATGTACCAAACTATCCCAAATCAGCAGATGGGGCTGGGCAGGGTCCAAGCTAAGACAGAGAGAAATTGTCAATCACTTCACAAGATAATTTTCAGCAAATTCACCTAAAGCTAGCAAAACATTTTTGGATGAATGAAAAAATTGGCCTTAAAGTTACTTTGCGGGATGCCCGGTAGCTCAGTCAGTTAGCATCTGCCTTCAGCTCAGGTCATGATTCGGGGGTCCAGGATTCAGCCCCACATCTGCTCCCTGCTCAGCGGAGAGCTTGCTTCTCCATATGTCACCCCCCACCTGTTTGTGCCTTCTCTCGCTATCTCTCTCTCTCTCTCAAATAAATAAATAAAATCTTTATTAAAAAAAAAGTTACTTGGCTTAGTGGGAAGTGCATTTTAAAAAAGAGGTACTTTGCTTAAATTTTATGGAACACCATAGGTTAGAACAGCTTTTGGGAGGGAAAGACCACTTTCTTTTTAAGAGCAGATGGGCAGGGTGACTGGGTGGACTCAGTGGTTGACTGTCTACCTTCGGCTCAGGTCGTGATCCTGGGGTCCTGCAGTCGAGTCCCATATTGGGCTCCTCTCAGGGAGCCTGCTTCTCCCTCTGCCTGTGTCTCTGCTTCTCTGTGTGTCTCTCATGAATAAATAAGTACAATCTTAGAAAGAAAAAAAAAGAGCAGATGGGCAATAGTTAGGCAGTGACTATGTGGGGCTGTTATGTCTTCCTGGGAAGGAAGGAGAGCCGTGGGCGCTCAGGCCTGCGGAATTCTGCATGCACAGACCATGGAGGAAACAGTCCCGGCTTTGTTTCTGAGCTGGAGCAGCCTGGGAACTACAAGAAGGTCTTGCACGCGGCTGAGGTCACAGGCAGGTTGAGAACAGTGTCACCAGGGGTTCTGACACTTGGCTGTGCCGAGGCTGCACACTCGTGTACGGGAGGTGTACTCTGAGGGAGGTAGGAAAGCCACCTGGGTTGAGAACCTTGAAGAAAACTCTGTGACAAGATCCTGAGGTCCCCTCCGGAAACTTGAAACTGCAAGCTGTACCATGAACCCATGCATGGTGCCTCTTTATTTATTTATTTATTTATTTATTTATTTATTTATTTGCATGGTGCCTCTTGTGAAGGGACAGGCTGGGAGCCTGTGAGGGAACCTTCTGGAACACCTCAAGCTCCAGCTCAAATAGAGCTCTCTCTCTCTGTGAATGCAGGCCTGACAGGCGACCCTGAGAAGTGGAAATGTGGTTAAGCGCTTGTTTGGAGAAAGACCACATGACCAGAAGGGGCTCTGAGCACCTCAGAGGCCAGGGTGGGGAGAGCCCTCTCTGCCCAGGTTGGGACAGTAGAGCCCTAGAGCAGACAGGTGTCATGTCTGATCATCTGACCGTAGCCCCCGAGGTTGTTCACACGGGTAGAACCCACTGTTAGGCTGACTCACCTGGTGAACAGTGTCTCACCTGTGAACCCAATGCAGGGGGCTCTGGGGTCATCTCTTTGGGCTGAGGTACCATCTACCTTGCCCAAGAAGGTGGGGTCAGCTCTCATCCTGCTGACGCAAATAAATGCCACCTCCTAGGAACCTATCTGATGGCCCCAGGCTTCAACATCACCTTCTTAAAACATACAAGACTAAAGTCAGTGGCTCTCCCCACTGTAGCCCGGGACCGGAAGCCTCAGCATCACCTGGGAACCTGTTAGAAATGCAGATTCCCAGGCCCCTGCCCCCTGCCCCTTGCTACTCAAGCAGAAACTCTGGGGTGAGGCCCAGCAATTGGTGCTGTAACAAGTCATCCGGGTGACTCTGATGCCTCCAGGTAAAGCTTGAGAACCACTAATTTAAACAGTTATTAATTTCAGTCCAGTGGCAAGAGTTCCATCTGATCTGTGTGTTTATTTCTTTAAGAAATTGCAGTGAGAAAATCACGTTTTACTGTTTAGCATCT